AAATAGAAAGAAAAAAATCTTATTTAAAGAGTAATGCAGGTTTGCATATTTGCAAAACATTTAAAAAAATTTTTTAGGGTTACCTACCTAACCTGAGGTGGTTTCAGAGATTTCCTAAGGGAACTATCACATATTTAAACTATATCGAATGAAGGCGAATAAAATCTTCTACGCTACCAGCATTTTACAGAGCCAGAATATACTGAACAATACTAGAAAAAAATATCCACTTTCATCATTATCAGGATGTTGTGAACGTTTCAGGCAAGAATATGACCCGTGCCTTATTATTATTTTTTTCCTGTCTCTTTACTCTCATGAGATTTCATGCAATAGATAATTCCGAGGATTTTCATTTCCTATGCCTTCTCCCCTCATTTTTAATTCATGCATGAGGAAGGCTAAAGCTTCTCCCGCTTTCATGAGGTTTTCATTAAATTATACTCTGAAAAGTGATAAAGCCTTTCAGAGAAAAACAACAAAAGTGCTGTTTTTACAACACCGAACCATTAATCAATAAATCGGATTACTTTTAAAGTAACACCAAAAAGAGTAATTCCTTTCAAAATTTTATTAAAAAAGTCTTAAATTTCTGCTGGTAGTAAACACTAAAATTTAAACAAATTTACTACCGTATTTCTTTACAAATTTTGTGTACTAAGATATGCAACATCTCAGTACTAAAGCTTAATTTTTAGGTGTAATAAAAAATAATGTGTTTTACATTACGAAGGCCAAATAAAAGTATTTATTTTACATTTACAGAATCCTTCCATGACAATTCTGAAACTATTTTACTAATCTTATGCACGTTACTGTGAAAAAGCTATAAATGTATAAGTCTGTATTCAGTATTTCAGAAAGTAGAGCCTTCGGCTACCTTTATAGATCCAGCGTTTGTTAATGAAAGTAATGTCATTTTCTAGAAAGCTGAGTAGTTTATATAACACCTCGTTAAGTCATCTACTGGTTGTTAAGTTAGACAATATATACCTATTGGTTAAAACATCCTCAACATTTTGCACTTATAACACCATCCTTAAAAAAAGATTTTAAAACAAGCAAAATTCAATAAAGTATTATTTTTTAGGAAATATAATATGACATAAAAATAATTTTGAGCTTCTTTCAGAGTATTCCGGACATTATAAGATCTGATATAGTTTACATTTTATTAGTATACATATCAAAGACTCAACAATTTAGATATAACGTGCCATTTCTCCCAAATTAAATGAGATTTTGTTATATCAATTGCTGTTAGATTTTGTTAGATCAATTTTTGATTATCAACAGCATTGCTTTGATTACATCATTTCTATAACATACGAAATTTAATCACAATTCTTATTTAAAGAAAACTGCTGAAGCAATCCAGCAGAATTTAACCAAAATTTGAAAGGTGAAAGATATGTTAGGATACTTGAAATGATAACATTTTTAAAACTGGCTTTAGCAATGTTGTATGGAAAATAAAGATCTTATGTTGCTAGCGCATCGAGAGTAGGCTTGCCTAATCTTGTTAATGATAAATAGATGTGTCATTAAGCTTGTTAAAACAAGAAACATAGAAAATGTTCAATTCTCCTGGATATACCGGGTGATCAAAAAGTCAGTATAAATTTGAAAAGTTAATGGGGTTTTATTAGAACCAAAAAAAAAAAAATACTGTTATCAGGTACGTCGATATGTTACAGAATCGCATCGTCCCCAGCCTGGCTGATAAACACCTGCTGGAACGTACGCTTTATGCGGATGAGCTCACCCCATATGCTGACGCGTGAAAGATCTCTGCGCGCGTCATTTGGTGGATCGGTGTAGCCGCCACTTTCGTCATGCTTGGCTCCAGGTCCCCAGACTCAGTCCGTGCGAGTATGGGTTTGGGGGACTGAAGTCCAAGGTATCGTGCTCGACCGACACTCTAGGGATGCTGAAAGACAGCCTCCGACGCAAATGCCTACCATACCTCGGACATGCTTACAGTGCGTTCACAACATATTCCGTGACTCGGCTAGTGTTGAGGAATGATGGTGACATATTGTGCATTTACTTAAAGAACATCATCTTTGCTTGTCTCATTGTTATGCTAATTATGCTTTTTGATGGATTATGCTTTCTAATATGCTTTCTAATACAACCCCATGTCATTCTAAGTATGTGTGTCAATTTTTACCTTTCTATCTACATTATTCCGTGATTTATTAAGTTTTCAAATTTATACTGACTTTTTGATCACCCGGTATTACTCGCCACGATTCGAACTCTGAAATCTTACCGATATACCCTCATGCACCGTACCTCAGAGTGTAAGGTATTTTTTCCTCCCTACCGTGTGCCTTCGTGATGTAATTGGAAAGTACGAGTGGTTGGAAATCGGTAGGCTAGGAGTTCGGATCCCGACGAGGGCATTGCAAAGTTTTCACGTCCTCCGAGGTAAAATGCTTAATAATCTCTACAGCACGAAACCTGACATAATGTAAAGACTCAAAGATTTCAATAAGATTCAGCAAAAACGATTTCTTACGACAACGGGAACAGCTGTCTAGTTCAATGCCATCATTTGCATACTTTCATTAGTTATAAATAGATGGTACCTAACACCATAAATTTCAGAATCAGGCTCTGATAATTTAATGTCAGAATCTTAAAAGTTTCACTTATCAAAATGGCACTAATCAATATCGGAATTCAATAAATTAAATTAACCAAAAGTTTTGTAGGAAACACAAACTAAAACAGAGTAATAGACAGCAACTGTGGAAAAAAGGGAAGAAATTTTACGATGGAAACTCTTCTTCATACACAATAGCCTTACTCATAACGCGATTATTATCACATGTTGATTTCGATAACCTGAACTTAAAGAAACTGTCTTCACCACTAAATACCCGAGTTAAAAGAAGACCCAAACTCAAACGTGTAAGAGTAACCTTGAGAAAGACTTTAACGTATTAAAAATCAAAAACTGGATAATAGTGTTTGGGAATAGATCGTCTTGAATTAAATGTTTAGAGAAGGACTGCACCCCGTAGCTCCACTGAGCCGAGTACAGGTTTTTACTCTGCATTTGCATTAAAATTTAATATAAATGCATTATTTCATAAACAACGAAATTGTATTACCAGATCTACAAAATTTTATTGATATCATAATGATCATCTACGGTGTTAAAATATGAGGTAGCTGTATGCGTTTTAAAAGAGCAGACAACCGGCAAATTTTGTAGAATGAGTTCTACAACAATTGTTAGTTAGTAACTAAGATAAGTATTTACTATCATATGTGGCATAAGTAATACTTTTAAAAATTTAAACCTTTAAGTTTTATCTTGAGAAAAGTCGCAGACCATTACCAGGAAGAATCATTATTACAAATGCTAAATGGTATCCTGTATGCTTATGTTATACCTCAAGAAACAATATTTAAAAAAAGTAGTCACACAGTACCCTGCACACATTTACGCTACAACGTTTTATTTTAATACACTACTGTTCAAAATATAAGCTACAAAAGCAACACAAAAACAAAAACCTATTTAACGGATATGCGTGAAATTCATCCTTCAAAAGGCTGTAGTATTACTAGACTACATAGCAAACAATAAAGCAAAGACATACAAAAACACATATATTACGACCATCGTATCGCGAAAGACCAAATGGATCGGAAGAATGTGCAATGAAAACATCACGCTAATAACGGGTAAGATACCCTATAGCGGAAATGCATGCTTGACAAAGGCGAGGCAAACTGGCAATAGTGTCGTTGATCGTTTGTTATGGCAGTTTCACCCTTCCTGTAGTAAAGCAAGTCGGATCTCGTGGAGGGTGTCTAGCCGCACACTGCGACCTGTTGTCCGTCGTCCCAAAATGTATCACACATGCTGTACGGTCAGGTGATCTAGCAGACCACGGCAGATGTGGAATGGTTTTACTTTCCAGATAAATCCGTACTACTCGAGCTCTATGCGAGCAGGTTTTTATCATTCATAAATACCGCGTCGATACCCATTACAGCGATAAAACGACGCACAAGAGAATTTAGAATTTTGTCGCGATATCGGACGGCTGTGTTGGAACCGCCAGGAATCACGCAGAAGTCTGTGCGTCCGTTCATTGGTATCCCAGCGCATACAACTAAGCCTCCTCCTCTGTAATGATCTCTTTCGACGCTGTTTGGCATGTCTGGCCTACAGCTGTTTGGCCAATAGTTTGTCTCTAGCTCTCACCATGTCATTGCTCTTCGGGAATCCTTCAGGATATTAAATCGAGACTCATCCGTAAAGAGCACTTGGTCCCACTGCTCTGAAGTCCAACTCCGATGTTCACGGGCCAGATTCAACCGCGCTCTGACATGCGATTGGGTAAGGAACACAAACCACAGGTCATCAGACACACAGTCAACATTCATGCAGTCGACATGACGCTATTTGGCGGGATATGGGACGTTCTGCAGCAGCAGAGATATGTGACTCTTGCTATCATTAATGATCTGAGGCGTTTTGCACATAGCAACAGGAAGCGATTGCTGCCGTTGTGTTAATCCTCCAGCATCTAGACCCACGTCTTCTACAGGGGTTTTAAACTCTTTAGTAATGATTATACAACCTATTAATGCACATTCTGTGTCGTACACCAGCTTGTAACATCCCGACAGCCCTCCAACGCATTTCATAGGGCAAATTGTGCTTTCAGCTCATGCTTTCCGCTTTGTCTATCTCGGATTACACGCAACTTGCGAACTGACGCATAGATCCGGCATGTTCCTTTTTAAGGCATTGCGGTGTGCCTGCAGAATTGCATTTTATGTTAATTTTGGGCTGTCTATTTGCATTCGGCGATGCAACCTCTATCGCATATATAAGCTGTATGTTTTCATTCCCCTTTTTACATTCGTACCTTTTCTTCTAACGGTTTTTGCTTATTTTTTTAGTTTGAATATAGTATAAGAAGAAAATGAAATCTTTTGAATACAACTAAGTAACTTAATAAAATAGAGCTTCAAATACTTACATGAAAAAGCATGTGTAAATATTTTACATATTTATCAAAAACAGCGTATCGAAAATGTTTTGAGCCAAATCCCAAGAGAAATACGATAAAAACACCCTGAAAGGAATTTATTCAATGAGTGATAAAAAAAGATATATACAATAATCATAAAGCTTTAGTTTGTTAAAGTATACAAGTATAAAGGTTAACATTCACATGTAAGTAGGAAGTAACATTTACACAAAGTAATATTTACATGTAAGTAGGAAGTAACATTTACACAAAATAATATTTACATGTAAGTAGGCAGTAAAAATATGAAGTTTCAATAATTTATATGGAAAACCTAATGTAAGATAAGGCGATGTATATATATATATATGTATAAAAAATTAGTAACTCAATAGCCTTGAGTTTGGCGTAGATTTGTTAAGCTCAAAGTTGTTGTGTTACTAATTTTATGTTTCACTTGGCGTGTTTCTCTTCTGTTTACATATATGTATACTTGAATATACTAAGTTTTTACGCAAAATTTCGCTGTAGAAGACGATCAAACCGTATTAAGAGATTCAATTTACTGAATGGCCGCATCTTCAGAGTAGAATGCTTATTTAATTTTGTCAGGCTCATTTTGGTACTAGAATGAATTTTACCGCAATCGGAAAATTTTCCAAGCCATAGATTTCCGAATCTGAGTTTAGTACTCGCCTCCGTTGTAGATTTTCTTGGATTTTATTAGATGCCACCACGACCATGCTCAACTTGTTGGCTAAAAGTGTTAAAGTGTTCCTTTGCATACACTGCGTTACTGTTACGATTATTTCGACTACTTATGTTTAGAGTTATGTAAAATGCTTTTCATGGAAATTGTTACTTTTTGTGCCACATTCATTTCGTTCTTTTTCTTGTAAATTCTTTTTGCCAATTATAGACAAATGTTCTGCTTGAAAATGGTGACCTGAAGTTTGACTGAAATTTGCAGTAGGTCACGGTAAATGTTTCCGTTTTATTGGGTGTTGAAATGCAAAAGCTTTTCTAGATGTTGAAAAATCTACCATACTGTATGCGTTTTATGTGTCATACACATAGCCATGACTTACGTCTTAGATTTCATATTTGTATGAGTATTCTGCTTCAAGTTTCATTGCAATATCGTAAATTGTTCATTTTTTATAAATTAATAAAACATATAATTCTTTTCCAATAACCCTGATCATACAGTAAACATAATGAACCAGCAAACAAATTCTTCGCCTATAAAGCATACACTTTGCTAAAGCAATGTTACAAAACTCGGAATTTAAAAAATAAATAAATAAAATCATGTTAGTTGATTAGTTGGTATGATATATACAACATTATGCTTTCACAAAAAATATTTTTATGAAATACGCTTTTCTTTAAAACTCTCAAAATAATTAAATAACTAAAAGCACAAAAATAATTTGTCGTATAGCACAACGGGAGCAAGATATTAAGTATAATTCTTTTTACAAAATTCATCCACAGTTTTTGTCACGAATAATTCAATATGTGGAACGCCTTTAATAACTGTACAAAGTTTATTCTATTATACGTTTGAAGAAACAGTTCAATTATTATGTTCCATTATTTAGGCACCCTTATTTTTATTATCGTAATATAAAACTGTAGATGAAATTTACAAGGGGAATTATTAAATCTCTTGCTCCCATTAACGTATATGATAAATTATTTTTCTGCTTTTAGTTCAGTAACAATTGTATGTGTTCAGTAACAATTGTATGTGTTCAGTAACAATTGTATACGTATGTGTTTTAATTTAAAGTTTATTTCATAAAACCTTTTTTTCATTTCCATCTTTTTAGTCTCAATGACATGTTATTAATTAAATTATTCAATTGAAAAATTCTTTTTCAATAACGAATAGTCACTGCTTTACTTCTAACAATTGTTTATGCCAAATGATCCACAACCAAAAAAAACTATTTTCAAAAATTCACCAAAATCTCAGAACGTGTATTAATAATTTCGTACATATTTCATTTAAAAGATTCTTTTCCTCTCCTGGTGTTCACAATAAAAATTCCGAGATTTTTAATTTGTTCATGAAATGCAAATATGTACGAAAGACCATTTTAATATCAAATATATTAATTGAAAAATTCTGAACCGAAATTTGAAATGATCGCTTCACTAAACTGAATTGTCATCTATAAATACTATGTGTACGAAGTTTGAACTTTATAGCATATCAGAAGGTAGTTTAAAATTCGATGATAAACCCTTTGATCATAGCAACGAACACCATAAGTGAACACGATTCCAGAGAAAAAGAACATTTCAGAAAAAGTTTTCGAATTCAAAGTGTTGGACAATTTGATGAACAAGGAATTCCTCTTGTATTTTTTAGGTAATTAAATGTAAAGAAGAGACCGATTTCTTCATCATTATTGTAATTTTTTCCTGAATTTTTTCATGCCACTTACTGGCATGTAAAGTGGAGTCCAAGTGGAGACTTTGATTTTCTTTATGCCCATGCTATCTATTAGTCATGCACCTAAAGATATGATTGATATTCATCTTCCTATTTCAAGACTTAACAATCAAGAATAAAATTTCTAGAGAAAATAATATCACGTCTTCTTTCCATCTGTATGTGTTGTAAATGTTTTCCGTTCTTACACTATTATTTTACTACTTTATATGTTTAACACATTCACTGTCATCTACGAAAATCCACGTAGTTGGCAAACTGGGTCTTCTAGCCAGCTATGAGTTAATTCGTTATTGTTCATTTTACCTAAGTGCCAAGTACAAGTATTGCAGTAAATGCATGCAATATTTATTATTAGGAGGATCAGGTCCTCCTACAATATCACTTTCCTTGTGATACTACTTATGGTGATTTAGCATGTCATTATCAATATATGTAGATCAGATTGTAGGATACCTCCAGAGACCGTAAATGATTATGATTTTACTTTGGATGACGTAGAATTTACTCTTAAAAAGTTAAATAAAGGACAAGCTCCTGGTAAAGATGGCCTGACAATGGATATTATTTTAGAAATCTTTGAATGTATAAAAACTTCTGAATGAATGTCTTAAGGGGGATTTCTGAAGTTGGAAAACAGATGATTTGGTGTTCAACAAAGAAAGAAAGGATTAAAGGAAGACCTTCCTCTTTGACCCATTGCTTCTGCCTTCTGGACAAGGTGCTGGATAAGCTCATGACGCAAAATATTATTATTATCAAATAAACGTTTAAATAAAAGTCAGTTGGTTTCAATAAAGTATATCCAGGCTATAGATAATTTAATTCTGACATCCTTCGAAATAGAAGGAATGGTAAACATACTGCAATTTTATCCTTAGATGTAAAGAGCGCTTTCAACAAAGTTTAATGGCCAATTTTATTAAAGGAATTAAAAAATATGAAATGTCCAAGAAATATCTTCTTATGTGATTTTCTGAATGAATGAAAAGTTTCCTTATATGATGACAGTAGGTGGCATCGCAGAAATTACCAAAGGGGTTGTCCCCAAGGCTCAATATCTGGTCCACTTCTGTGGAATGTTATTGCTAATATAGCTTTAAACATAACCTTACCACAAAATGTCAGTATACAAGCTTATGCTGACGATTTTGTTTTATTGGCCACGGGAAGTGGTCGCCATGCTATTGATAAAGCTTTAAGTTTCGCCTCTCAAGAATTGGAGAAGTGGTCTTTCTATGTTAAACTCAATTTGATCCAAAGAAGAGCTTTCATTTGGTTATTGCCAAAACTAATACTAGATCAATACATCCTAGGTGCAAACTGAATGAACAACCAATTAGAGTTTCTAAGAATATAAAATATTTGGGCATTACGATCGATCAAAAGCTCACTTTTATACCTCACCTAGATCAAATAAAGATCGAATGCACACATATTCTTAATAGACTTAGTAAAATTAATCACCAAGGTAAGTTCTTAAGAGTTTATATAGAAGAGCTATTGAGAGAAAAATCTTGTATTCAGGACGCGCATTGGACTGGAACGGTCCGAATGCGTAACAAAATTTTGCAAATTCAAAGAATCGCTTTATTGAGGATTACTAAGTGTTTTAGGACTGTTTCCACAGTAGCTCTTCAGATTTTGGCTGGATATCCCCCGATCGATATTTTAGCGGGAAAATAATATGCTATCTTTGAATTAAAAGCTGGTAATAAAACTGTCGATTGCTTCAGTGAGATCTTCTCAGCTAAAGAGTTTGACTTTGAAAAAGGATTTGACATTCATCCAGCTTTTTTGAAACGGTTGAATTGGCATAAAGGCTTCCCCAATATGACAGGCTACACGATTTTTACAGATGGATCTAAATTAAATGGTCATGTGGGGGAAGCCTTTTGTGTGTTCTCAGATGAGAAACTAAGCTTACAAAGGATATATAGACTTTCTGACAATGCCTCTGTCTATCAGGCAGAGTTAGTGGCCCTGCGAGAGGCCTTGCATTGGCTTATTTCTAATTCTGCGATAGATCCTGTAGAAATCTATAGTGACTGCGAAAGTGCAATTGTTTCAATTACGGGTGTTTGTCCAAATAACGATCTAATTAAACAGATAAAAGACATAGCTCTTTCAGAGATATTAAACTCTTTTAGACGAAGAGTCATATTGGAACTATTGGTAACAAGTTAGCAGATAGATTGGCAAAGCCTGCCACTGAAAATCAAACTCATTCGATTTTGAAGTAAAGACTTTCTTTGATAGTTTGAAATCCTTGTTGAAACAGAAAAAGTCTGACTCTTTGGCAAGCAAATTTGGAACGATCCAGATTCTAAAGGAAGATTCACTTATAATTTAATCTCAATTGTAAGTGAGAAAAGATGCCTAAGTGACAAGTATCTAAACCAAGCTTTAACTAATCATGGACACTTTACCTTTTATTATTATAGGTTTTCGATTAAAAATTGTGCCTGTCCATGCGGCATGAGTAATGTCGATATTGAGCACCTGTTGTTTAAATGCTCTTCTATCAAAAATATTGTTCTAAGATTTATTCCAGATATTGCTAAATTTAATACTTTAAAGGATCTAAGTAAAAATACAATGACTAAATTGAAATTGTCAAATTTAATAAAATATGTATCTG